CATCATTAGAAGTATGAAGCATCTAAAATTCTCGTTAAGTAGATAATACCATTTCAGTCAGACACCATAACTGTAAAAAAAGGAATAAAATAATTAGAACAGTTTTCTTCATCGTTTTTTAAATATACAGTAGTAATTGTTATATTATTAATTTGTATGTGATACACTGAAAACAAAATTTATTTGATTCAAAAAACCGATTACTTAGTTAATTAAATTATTATTTACTTAGTTAATTAAATTATTATTTAATAAATTAATTAAATTTTACTTGAATCAAATAATTTTTATTTAAATTGATTGAATTGTATTTTTCAGTCAATTGAATTATTTTTGCTTCAAATACTGAAATTATTGGTTCAAATGCAATTTATTTCAAATACCATTTAATTGACTCCAAGAAATATTTTATTCAAGTAAAAATTTGAGATTTGAGTCAAATAACTGATGACTTGACAATTATCAAATGATAATTGTCAAGTAATCAGTTATTTGACTCAAATAATTTTTTTTTCAGTGTATGCGCAGAAAGAGTTTATCCAAAAGTAGAAAAAGATGTTATAGACAGACAACATAAGAAAACACATTATTCAGTTTTGTAATAATTGCAAATAATTATTTACAAAAATGTCTTTGCCTGCAAGAGAACATTTAGTCTCGAAGTAGAGAAACCTGTTTCAGTCAGACAGCAAATACCTAACACCTATTAATTATAAAAATTACTTTTTAAAACAAGTATGAATAAAAATTTTCACTTATGTACAAATATTTCCTTTTAATTGTTAGTCTCCTTCTAAAACTACAATTATATAGAAATTGAAGAAAAATATTGTATACTGATTTTTATCTACTCTGTCTAATGATTAAGAATTAAAATTTTAAAAAATTATCAAAAATCGATTAATTTTCGAAAAAAACAAACACCTTTGAGTGGTATAATTAAATTGACTTGAAAGAAAGAGAGATATTGTACTATTAACCGGATACAAACGTTAAAGATTAGCGGGTGGTCATCCGTAAGGGGATACAGTTGTTATTAGTCAGACAAAGAATAGTTGAGCACTCGAGCTCTCATGCAGGGTGGATTTATCTACTTATCTTCACGTGACCCATATATTCTCTCACTATAAAGCAAAGGGAATTCTACATATTTATTCAAACTAAAAAAAAAAAAAATGAAAATAGAAAATAAACAACAATTTTCGATTTATATTTAAAACTCGTTATTAATATTTACCAATATGCATTCATTTAAGTGAAGAACATAAACCGACGAATAAAAATTAATAATAGACACTAAAGTAGTTTAGTTAAATTTAATATTATTTCGGAAAATTTAAATAATAATTGACAAAAAATAAAAGAAATTTTAAATAATTGAAAGGAATGATAAACAGTCACGTTGGTAATGTAGTTTGATACCCGAAGGTATTAAAACCTGTTACACTGTGACTTTCAATCTTCCTTATTCACATTCAAGAGAGCGCCACGAATTCAATGAATAACAAAATTCCATAATTATTTTACTCAAATATTTATTTTTCTGATAAAAAATTATTATATAAATCTTGTCAAAAATTTCATTTATTTTCAAAAATATTTCTCAATTTTTTAATTATTAAAAATTTTTTGAAAAAAATTCTTTATGAGAATTTAATTTTAAGAAACGTTCAATTATTAAATAAATTATTTATTTTTCTATTTAAATAATTCATTTCTCGTAGAATTTTTCATTAAAAATTGATTTAAAAATTAATTTTAGTTACAAATTTTAAATAATAATTTAATATTAAAAGTATTGTAGCATGAATTTTTAGAAATTATTAAATTTTGAAAAGGTCTCAAATTATAATCTTTGAAAATTTGAATTTTTGATACTTTTCACTAAAAATTGTGTAGAATTAATTTTTTTTTTAAATTTAATTAAAATTTTTTAAATTATTTGAAGTTTCTATTTTCTAATAAATATTTAATTAAAGAATTTCAAAATAATTGAAACTTCATAAAATTGAATTGTAAACAAATGAATTTGAAAATTCTCAAAGAACTTTTTCAAAAATTATTATTAAAATTAATTGATTTATAGAAGAACTAAAAAAAATTTAATTTCGGAGAAATTACAAATGATTGCAGCAATTTAATTATTTTTAAAAAGTAAAAAAATTCTTTACAAAAAAATTCAATTATATTCCAAAATTTTTTTAAATTCTCGTCAAAATTTCAATTATCTTTATAAATATTAAATTTCTTAATAAAATTCTATGCAATTATTCAATTATTCTTTTAATAAGTAATCAAAAAGTCACAGGAATTCAATTATTTATAAATTTCTTCGAAATAATTCAATTATTTTCAAAAATAATAAAATTTTTACAGGGTTTCAATTATTTTCGTAAAAATTAAAATTCTTTTTTGGAATTCAATTATTTTTACAAATCACAAATAATAAATCTCATCGCAGAATTTCTATTATTTTTAATATAATTTTAATCAAATTCCTCGAAAAATGTAATTGTTTTTAAAAATTTTTATTAAAATTCGTCAAAAGAATTCAATTATTTAAAAATTTATTGATAAAATTCTATATGAGAATTCAAGTTTAAGAAACATTCAATTTTGAAAAGGTTTGAAATTAAAATCTTTAAAAATCTGAATTTTTCATATTTTTAACTAACAATTCTGTGGAATTAATTTTTTTGAAAAAGTTTAATCGTAATTTTTAAAAATTATTTCAAGTTTTTATTTTCTAATGTAGGGTAAGTGCGGGTATAGTCGGACAGTACTAGTAGTCGGACACTTTCGTGTTTTTTGGCAAATAAATAATAATGCATTGTGATAATTACTTTAAACAGTATACTAGACGAATGTGTGAAGTTTATATTTTATTAAAATAGTGTTATTTTCGAAAATAATTAAACAAGAAATATTTTATTTAATGTTTTAAAAATCATGGTGTCCGACTATAGATACAACCATTTTCGAGTAGCGCGATGAGTGGCACAAAGTTTTGTTGATAATTAATCATAAATATTAAAACGTATAGGGTCTAAATATTATATTAATAACTTCTAATATGCTTTAATTCCATTTTCCAGCAGATAGCAATTAAAAAATGATCTTTTTCTTTTTATAAATTCAAAATATCTGACAGATGTCCGACTATAGAAACAAGGGGAAAAAGTGTCCGACTACTAAAGCAATCGTAATTTTTTATTAAATTGTTTATATTTTATTAAATACTCAACTATTTGTAACAAATTTATATGATTTTTAATCCTGAAGAACTCCTTTAATTAATAATGTGCTTATAAACACAGTAGATATTTGCTATTTCAAGAAAAAAAGCATAATTTAAGATTGTATCCTTAAGTGTCCGACTACTAGTGCATTTACCCTATATTTAATTGAAGAATTTTCGATAAATTTAAATTTCATAGAATTAAATAGTAAACAAATGAATTTGAATTTATTGCAGAAATTTAATTATTTTCAAGAGTAATAATATTCTTCGACAAAATTAAATATTGTTCAAAAATAATAAAATTATTCTCAGGAATCCAATTATTTTCACAAATAATAAAACTCATCGCATAATAATTTCAATTATTTTTTTAATACAATTTTAATAGAATTTCTCGAAGAATGTAATTAATTATTCTTAAAAATTTTATTAAAATTTGTCCAAAGAATTCAATTATTTAAAAATTTGTTGATAACCATTCTTTATGGGAATTGAAGTTTAAGAAACATTCAATTATTCAATAAAATATTTATTTTTGTATTCTTAAATTAAAAATTAATTGACTTTTAGTAGAATTTTCTAATGAAAATTAATTTAAGAATGAATTTCATTTAAAATTTTAGATAAATGAAAAGATTTCGAATTAAAATCTTTGAAAATCTGAAATTTCCATACTCTTAAGTAACGAATTAATTTTTTTGAAAAAGTTTAATTGAATTCTTTTGGAAAATATTTTTATTTTTTATTTTCTAATAAGTTATAATAACAATATATTCTTATAATCTAAAATAATGATTTTATCACTTGGTCATCTTCATGTTTTGTAATAATATTTCTATACATTTTTTTTTTTTTATTTCAAAAAGATTCGAATTTGAAACTTTTAAAAATTCTAATTCCTACGGAAAAAAATAACAATTAAATATTTATTTTAAGATAAAGTTATTGATATTTTTGAATAATTTTCCAATTAAAGAAATTCGTCAATAAATGTAATAGAACATTTTTTTGATAGTATCTAATCTTTCTTAGAGTGAATTCGAATATTCTTTAGGTTCAGACAGAAAGTAAAAATTTTGTCTGAAAATCAGGGAAAACAAAATTAAATTTTCGTTTTTCCGTGATTATTGAGTTAAATAATTTTTAAAATTGATTTGAAGCATTACTTATTAGTTCCAAATACTCAATTTATTTGACTTAAGTAATATTTATGTTTGACGAAAATCACTGATTATTTAATACCTACGAAAAAAAAAAATACTTAGGTCCAAAAAATATGTACTTAAATATTATTAATAATAAATTAATAAATATTAAATACTCAAATAAGTATTTAATGGATAATAAACAAATAAACTATTTAATTAAATCTTCAAATAATTTTTTTTCACAGTAGAAATTAAAATTTTTTCTAAATATATTAAAAGAAGATGATACATTGTAAATTGTAATGATTATAAATCCGCAAATTCTAATGAAGTGGAATCTATTAAAATTATGTTAATTTTACAAAGAAACTAGTTTCATAAACAATAGAACGAAGAAATTAATTTGAAAAAAAACTAGCTGCTTGTCTATATACTTTGCTTAAGTCTATAATGTGTAATGATAGATTGAATGCGTGTGTACAGTGAATTATTAAAATTCCCCCCCATTATAAAATCAGGTTCACGTCCCCTCTTTAAAAATTTCTTATCGCTCAAGCTCAAGGCTGTCTTATTGTTTCACACAAGGTCTATAGGCGGCTCTGCTTCGTTATATCAAAGCAAATTTTCCGCGGAAACTCAGGTAAACGAATGGAATATTATCTCATTATCAGTCACTTGAAAACACTTTTAAAGTCGATTCCTCATTTGAAAATTTCTTCACTTCAAAATTTATAGTTCACAATTGAGTAATTGTGAACAATTCTCATATAGCAAAGTGCGTGACCAAAAAAAAAAAAATGCGCATCCGCGCTCTATTTTCCCTCTCCCTCATATTTTTCCTCTCCCGTGAAATTCACATCTCACATGGAAAAATATTGACCCGCTGTGAAGCGGCAAAAGAATTAATAAAAGGCGGCGTTTCGAGGACATTTGTCAGTAATTTTGTTTGCCTGATGGAAAAGGAGAGTGGACTCGATACAAAAAAAATCACCGGCCCAAAAGCGCAATCGAGCTATTCGTTTGGAGTTTTTCAAATTAGCAGTGGCAAATGGTGTACACGTGGACGTGCCGGTGGACTTTGTATGAAAAAATGTGAAGATTTTGCCGACGATAATATTCAAGATGATATTGTGTGTGCAAGAAAAATTCAGGAGAAAGAGGGCTTTAAATATTGGAGTGGCTGGTTGAAGAAATGCAAAAATCAAACACTGCCCAATGTTTCGAATTGTAAGCGTAGACGCAAGCGATGAGAAAAAGGACGAATAAAATTCTCCCCAAAATCAGGATTATTGCCAAGAAACAATTACGAACACTAGAAATTTCTCAAATAATCAAAATAATAATAAAAAAGAAAAAAAGTCTTACTAATGAATTGACAATTGTTACGTGAAAAAATTCTGGGAAAATTCAAATAATCAAAAGGAAATAATCAAAAAGTAAACAATAATAAAAATATAATAATAATAAAAATAATAATAAAAAAATAAACAATAATAAAAAAATATTTAAAAAATAAGTAACAATTTGAACCCGTGAAAGATTATAATTAATTATATTAATTTTCGTGTTCTTTCATTCATTCTGTTCCAAGTTTAAAACCAGTTTTTATGTATACTTTATTTGTTTTCTTTCTTTAAAAAATATTGTTTGACAAATCGAAAATATGCAGGTATTTTTTCACAATTCATAATAAAATAATATTAGAAATTAGAAAATTAAAAAGAAAATTATGATTAACAAATGAAAAATATACTCATTTTGAATATTATTATTATGCTTTTTTCTATAACAAAATTCGTTCGACTGATCTAAATTATTATCCAAATTATTCTCCTTTTTATTTATAAAAAATAGAGAATTGTTAAATTTTTAATTCTTACAAGGAAATAATTTTCACATTATTTCTATTTCTTAATTTCAATTGTTTTAATAAAATTCAGTTTTTTCGAAAATAAAGGAAAAAAATGTTTATAAATTATATTTGTCAGTTAGAGAATTTAATTAAAGATGAAATTGAAAATTTACGAATTTTTAAAAAATAAAGGAAAAAATTTTACTCAAAAAAATGTTCTGTTACATTTATTTCAGAATTTCTTTAATTGCACAATTATTCAAAAACATCAATAACTTCTTTTTTAAATAAATATTCAATTATTATTATTATTTTTCCATAGGAATTAAGATTTTCAAAAATTTCAAATTCAAACCTTTTTGAAATTAAACAACTTTAAAAAAAGATAAATTTGTAAATTGATAAATTTTAAAAATTGGTAAAAATTATAAAACATGAAGATATTGATTGCTCCGAGTCGAAGACTCGGAGTGATCGATTTCTTTATGTTTTATAATAATTAAAGATGTTCGAGAGATAAAGTAATTATTTTTTATTTTAAGAACTTACTGTAACTTCTTCAAAATTATTTTCAATTATTATCTAAAATTTTAACTAAAATTCATTTTTAAATTAATTTCTATCAGAAAATTCTACGAGAATTCTATTATTTAAATACAAAAGTAAATTATAGCATAAAAAATAAATAATAATAAATAATAATAATAATAATAATATTAATAATAATAAATAAATTATAGAATAATTCAATGATTCTTGAAATTTAATTCGTATAAAGAATTTTATTACCAAATTTTTTGATTAATTAATTTCTTTTGACGGATTTTAATAAAATTTTTAAAAATAATTACATTTTTCGAGAAATTCTATTAAAATTGTATTAAAAGTAATTGAAATTTTGCGATGAATTTTATTGTTATAAAAATTCTTCTATAAATCCATAATTTTTAATAACTAATTAAATATATATATATTAACAAATTTAACTAAGTTTAGAAGATTTTGAATTATTAAAATTTTTCAAAAATTTAAGTTCTTTAAAATTTCTAATTAAATTCATTCAAATTATATTCCAATTTATATTTTATTTTTATAAAAAAAAATTTGAATTAAAAATTTTTATACGTTCTATTATTATTTTTAAAATTGTTAATTTTATTTTAAAAAGTGAGTGAGAACTCAGTCGAGCGCGAATTGTTGCTGGTAAAGAAATAAAATAAATAAAACAATGAAAAAATAAATAATGAAAAAACAAATAAATAATAATACAAAAATAGAAAAAAACAATTTAATAAATAATATAAAAAAGCGTTTTTTTTTTTATTAAACGGAAAAAATATCCTTTTTGTACCCAAAGAAAAATAAAAATAATTTCCTCAACTTCAAGTTGGATCAAAAACGAAACAATGATTTAATAAGGAAAATTATTTACAACAGTTTAATAAGGAAAATTAATTACAACAATTTAATAAGGAAAATAAGTTACAATTCAAAATGAAAAATTAAAGTACAACTGTTTAAAAAGAAGAAAAAATAAGTAATTAAATTTCAATTAATTAAAACTCGTTTTTTTATCAAATCTTTTTTGTGCCAGAAGAAAAATAACTTGCCATTAAATAAAAAATAAAAGAATTATTTTTTTTTAAAGAAAATTAACTACAACATTTTAAATAGAAAAAAAATTAAGTAAAACATTTCAAACCGCGAGGAAAATGAAAAAAAAAATCAAAATTAAAATTAAAGAAATATTTCTCTCAGCTCCCGTGTTTTTTCAAATAGAAAATATTGCGAATAAATAATAAATAAAATATTGGTAATAATTCAACTGTAAATAGCAATAAAGAAAAATGTTATAAAAAGTACAAAAAAATTCTGTGACTAAAATAAAGTGTGTGATGAATATTTTTTCTTTGTTATATATTATTGTCTATAAGTAATAACAATCAAAAATTGTATAATGAGTAAAAAGAATTTTGAGAACAGAAAAAAATGTGTGATGAATTTTTTAAAATATTTTGTTAGCTATGAATAACAAAAAATTGTACAAAGGGTAGAAAATTGTGTAACTAAAAAAATTGTATAAATAATAAAAAAAATAGTGTTACTAGAAAAAAAATTTTATAAAAGACAAAAAAAATTGTGTAACTAAAAAAAATTGTATAAAGGATAAAAAAAATTGTGCAACTAAAAAAAATTGATATGACAGATTATTTTCTACTGTTATATTATTGTTGGCTATAAATAGCAAAAAGACAAAATTGTATAAGGAGCAGAGAAAAATTGTGCAACTAGAAAAAAATGGTGTGTTGCATTTTTTTCAAATCTTTTATATTGTTGGCTTAATAGCAAAACAAAAATTGTATAAAAAACAAAAAGAAAATTGTGAAACTAGAAAAAAAATGGTGTGATAAATTTTTTTGTCATATTCTTGACTATAAATAGCAAAAACAAAAAATTGTATAACATAGAAAAAATTGTGTAATTAGAAAAAAAAATTGTGTGATGAATTTTTTTTTCTTTAATAACGTTATATATTGTTGGCAAGGATATAAAAACCGTAATACAGGATGCGAAATAATTGAGTTTATCATCAGACATGGGATAATATTCTCGACTCTGTCATAATTTTGTTTTGTGAATAAAAGTGAAAGTGTTCGTGAGATTCTGATAGAATCGGCCACCGTGTTGAGGATTGGCGTAACTTTTTATAGTGACGAGTCGAAACATCGCATCTTCCTCTTTTTTGTACATATAAAATAGATATTAATAAAAAAGAATTGCATCCAAAGAAAAAAAATTTTTTATTATATTTTATTCAAAATTATTAAAAATATATAGAAAAAGTAAAAAATATTAAATTAATAGAGTTGGAAATTTTTTACGGAAAAATTTAATTTATTCCTGAAATCGTAAAAAATAATGATTTTAGTATTTTATTTTTTTTTTTAAGAAGTCGATTAAACTTTTACTTCTTTTCCTTATTTATATCATCGATTTTATTATTTCTTTTAATAATAAGAATATAATAAGAATAATAAGAATAATAAGAATAATAAGAATAATAAAAATACTAATAATGGTAAATTGGTAATAAGAATCAAGAATAATAAGAATTATTTATTTATTTATTTATTTATTTACAAAACTAAACATGACAAGCACTTTAGCAATAATTGCGAACTATGGCAATTTAAATAAATACTAATTATAATAAAATAATAACAGTAATAAAATGTTTATTTCTTTGAGGAAAAAAATGCAACTTTAGTAAGAATTTTAATGAGAAAATATAATTTTCAATTCAACAAACATGGGAATTTTTATTTTAACTATTTAAAAAATCTGTAAATATTTATAAAAAGAAAAATAAACCTACTTTTTAAAATTTAAAGTAAAATAACTCTTTCAGTAGTATTGATAATAAATTTTAATATAATTATTAATGTAATAATTAATATTATATTGAATATTATTATAATAATAAATTTATTGAATTTCCTAAATTTAAAAAATTTAACAAACATGATAAGTTTAATAATAATAGTAGGCAAATTTAACGATTTTAAAAATTAAAAATAAATAAAATAATAGATAATAAATAAAGCGGTAAATAATAAACAAAATATTAAATATTTTATAAAATAGTAAACAAGTGAACAAAATATTTTTTAACGTAAATATTTTCAAAAATTAAAAATTAGTAAAATTAATACATTAAATTTAAAAAACATAAATATTAAACATTTTGGAAATTTTTTAAGTAATTTATAATAGATAACAAACAATATTATTATAACAAAATTTAAATTCAAAACTTTAGGAATATTAATAAATATAAGAAACAAAATAGTAAATAGTAAATAAAATAGTAAGTAAACGAATAAGTAAATTAGTAAATATAGAAAATAGTGAATTAAAAAATAAAATACTAGAGTGTAAATGAAAAAAACTTTATAAATATTGTGTTAAACTGAATAATTCATAAAACAGAAAATCCAAAAATAAAGTAGAAAAGAATAAAGAAATTGAAAGTAAAAAAATATTATAGAATAAATAAAATAACAGTAACAAACAAAGTAATAAGTACAAAATAGTAAATAAGAAAAAATATAGTAAATTCGAAAATTAAACAGTAAAAATAAAGAAAATAAGAAGTAACAAACAATAAATATTAAATTAAATAGTATTAATTAAATAGCACCCACGTTGAAAAATTCCATGGAATTTCCGTGGAAATACTGCAAGTTTTATATATATTTATAAAAATGTTAAAATAATATTAAAATAAAAAACTTACAGAATTTCCTTGATTTTCCCCTCATTTCCGGACAAAATTTTCAATTTTTTCCTTACCCTAAAGAATATTCTCATTTACTATAAAAATCATTAAATACTTAAAAAAAACTGTTCTATTACATTTAATAACGAATTTTTTAATTGTAAAATTATTTCAAAACACCAATAAATTCTTTTTTAAATAAATATTTAATCATTATTATTATTCCATAGGAATTAAGATTCTTCAAAAATTTCAAATTCAAACCTTTATAAAATTCAACAAATTATAAGAATATTAATATTCAATATTCAAATTTACATAAAATTTTTC